ATGTGCCCACAATCAAGGTACATGCCCTTGACCAGAATCGAACCCGGGACCCTTCAGTCCCCAAGCCGACGCTCTATCCATTGAGCCAAACCGGTTTTGGCCACTATTTGTTTTATTAATAATAGACTCTCCATTCCATGTTTCTTCTCTTCCTCATCCACAATGCCTATAATTCTAATATTGTTTTTTTTTTTTTTTTTTTTTTTTTTTTTTTTTTTAAATATATTTTATTGATTTTGTACAGAGAGGAAGGGAGAGAGATAGAGAGTCAGAAACATCGATGAGAGAGAGTCATCGATCAGCTGCCTCCTGCACACCCCCTACTGGGGATATGCCCGCAACCAAGGTACATGCCCTTGACCGGAATCGAACCCGGGACCTTTCAGTCTCCAAGCCGACGCTCTATCCATTGAGCCAAACCGGTTTCGGCTAATTCTAATATTGTTTTTTCTGATGGAGTCAGATAGATCTCATAGAGTTCTTTCCATTTTCTTTATTCTCAGGTGTCTCTCTTCTTCCCTCTGCATCATTTCTTGATTCCTATCTTCAGTATCACCAGTTCTTTCCTTTTCTGGTTGGTTCTGTTTTCTATGCTCAATGGTTCGCTCTTAATCTAATTGCATGCTTCATTTCCAGGATTTCTGATTGGTTCTTTTTTAAAGTTTCAATATCCTTGGTAAAGTACTCGTTTTGTTCATTCATTTGTTTTCTGAGTGCATTGAGTTGCCTGTCAGTATATTCTCTCACTTCGTTGGGTATTTTCAGAACTGCAATTTTGGGGATTTTTCATTTTCTTTTTTTTTTTTTAATTTCTTTATCAATTAAGATGTTACATACGTGTCCTTATTCCCCCATCATTCCCCCCCATCCTCCCCACTCATACCCTCACTCCCCTGTTGTCTGTGCCCATTGGTTAGACTCATATGCATGCATAAAAGTCTTTTGGTTGATCTCTCTCCTTTACCCCCACCCTCCCCTACCTTCCCTCTGAGGTTTGAAGGTCTGATCAATGTTTCTCTGTCTTTGGATCTGTTTTTTCATCAGTTTATGTTGTTTATTATATTCCATAAATGAGTAAGATCATGTGATATTTATCTTTCTCTGACTGGCTTATTTCACTTAGCATAATGCTCTCCATTTCCATCCGTGCTGTTGCAAATTGTAAGAACTCCTTTTTTTTTTTTTTTTTTTTTTTTTACCACAGTGTAGTATTCCATTTGTAGATGTACCACAGTTTTTTAGTCCACTCATCTGCTGATGGGCATTTAAGCTGTTTCCAAATCTTAGCTATGGTGCTTCTAATTGGTGTTTCTAGTTTCTTTGGATATATTCCTAGAAGTGGGATCACTGGGTTATATGGGAGTTCCATTTTTAGCTTTTTTTAGAAAACTCCAAACTGTTCTCCACAGTGGCGGTACCAGTCTGCATTCCCACCAGCAGTGCACGAGGATTCATTTTTCTTCACATCCTGGCCAACACTTGTTGATTTGATGATGATTGCCATTCTGACAGGTGTGAGATGGTACCACACTGTCATTTTGATTTGTATCTCTCGGATAATTAGTGACTTTGAGCATGTTTTCATGTGTCTCTTGGCCTTCCTTCTATCCTCTTTTGAAAAGATTCTATTTAGGTCCGTTGCCCATCGTGAGACTACTTTTCACAGGTTTAGCTAGTGTTAAGCTTTCAAATAATCACGAGGACTTTTAGTGTCCTTCATTTACTGAAAATAAGATATACCCTCATAATATGGGGTCCTGAGGAGTTACCACATATACAGCTCCCTGTTTTAAATCTTTAGAGAATGTATTTTCTCCAGGTGATAGAGTAGGCAGTTAGATAGGCATGAGCAGAGCAGGAACGACAGGCCAGGTATGGAATGTCACTAAAGCAAAAAGTCCTGGGAGCCTAGCAATGGGCAAAACTGGGAAAATAAGTATTATAGTCTAGTACCTTACCCCCAGAGTGACTTTCCCTCCCCTAGAAGGCTAGTCATGTAGAGTAGACACCCTTAGAGAAAGAAAAAATAGCTGGAGAATAGTCTTATAGACTTCGATACAAGCCTGTGCACTACCATTTCCTTAAGCATTAAGTCCTCAGGGCAATGAGGTTCTGGTCAGTATAAAATAACCTTAGAAATAAAGCTTCCGGTCTGTTGACCACAGAGACAGAGTTTTGATCAAATCAGAAATAACAACTGGGCCTCAGTTGTATTTCAGCTCCAGGCCCAGAAAAGCTGCAAGGCCAGGTGGGGTGATGCCATGGCTGATATCAGGACCAGCTGTGATGACTAATGACCTGCCTTGGTACTGACCAATCAGAGACCATGACCCTGAAAGGACACGCTTAGAAAACTGATGTATATTTTATTGAGTGCATCCCCTGAGATCTCCCCTGAAATTCCTGCCTTTAGAAAACAGATAAAAACCCTCAAGGCAAGGGATTGAGTGTGCACTCCTCCCTCCCTCCCTCCCTCCCTCCCTCCCTCTCTCTCTCTCTCTCTCTCTCTCTCTCTCTCTTTCTTTCAAGCTCTCCACTTTTCCCCCTTTCTTCCCTCAGGTGTGTGCCTTTGCTTTTCCCCCCTCTAAGCTCTAAAGGCCCTTATTTTGCCTCTACAACTTGTTTCCTGACTCCATGCAGCCCAACTGGTCCACTTCTGCCTCTGTGACTTTCTAAATAAACTTGTACTTGAGTTCTTGGCTCTGAATGCTTTCTTAGCTGAACTCAAGGATAGAGGCCTAACTCTGCAATTAACGCAGGCATGATATTTTCAATTCTTATGAAATTATCCTGGTTGTTTGGATATTCTTTCACCCAGATGGGAGAAAATCACCAAATAACTGTTGTCATTATAATTAGATTGAAAGGAGCTGCTCCCAGTGCCTGCTACTCCTGCAGGTAAGTACTCTCTTCACTCTGCTGAATCATCAGGCCCAAGTGAACAGTGGAACTTTGCCCAGAACGGAAAGGTGTAAAGGTGAAAGCAAGTGTCAACAGTCTCACTGACCTTTCCCTGTGCTAAAGGGCAGAATCCTTTTGGAAAACCAGTTAATATAAAATCAGGATTTATTCCAACTCATAGTTCAGATTTCACATTTTATACTGAGTGATTCTATCAGTAATTCTTTTGACACACAGGGTCCCATGAACTGATTACCATCTACACAGTCTGTGCTGTTAATGCCAAACTAGTCTTGAATTAATCAACAGTTCAAATTAATCAATAGTATTACTTTGGTAACAGGCAATAATACATTTATTTTATTTTTCCTTTATTTTAGAGAGAGAGGAAGGAAAAGGGGGAAAGAGAGAGAGAAACATAGATGTGAGAAAGAAACACTGATCGGTTGTCTCACATATCCACCAAACCAGGGATCAAAACCACAGCCTGGGTATGTGCCATGTGTGGGAATTGAACCCTCAACCCTTCAGTGCACGTGATGACATTCCAACCAACTGAGCCACACTGGCCAGAGCAGGCAATCATACATTTACTTATTATCTCATTTCTCCAGCATGAGTACCGAGCTAGTGTTCGCAAGTTGGGATGCATATCAAAATAAGAGAGCAGCTTTATAACACGCCACATCCTCAAATAGTTTTAATTTCCACTCTTTGTGATTGAAGACTGTTACTGAGCAGATGGCCTACTGACCCTGAGTCCATCAGCCTAAGAAATCGCACCTTGCAAGCATCTTTTTTAAATTTCCATTAAAAAATGTGTTTTAAAAGGTTATCAGATGCAGAGGGGCAGGTTGTAAAAAGGGATGAATCTAAGAATTATGAAAACCCACATATACTGACTTTGTAACGATAAGAGTGGAGAGTAATGCGGGTTTGAGAAAACAATGGTCAAAAGTAACTAGATTCTTATCTGTTGTGGCCCAAGGGAATAGGGCACAAGATTGGGAGTCTGGAGCTTGGTCTGGGTCCAAAAGACTCTGGGCAAGTTACCTCCTGCTTTTTTTAACACTGTCTTCATCTACAACACTGGGGTAAAGGGTACATGTCCCAGTCTACTTATGGATTTAATGAACATGTGTTACTATGCTTCACAGATGGCAGCCACAAGATTATGAAAGCATATATGTTAACACGTGTAAATAACCTGGAACATGCCAAAAGCTGTTTGGCTCAGTGGATAGAGCACATGTGTCAAACACAAGGCCCGAGGGCCAAATCCGTCCCACCAGGCCTTGCAATGTGGCCCGAACCGTGCTGTCATCACTGCACTCCGCTGCGTTTCCATCACAATGACAGTTTATGACTGTTCAGTAAACCATTCGGCCCGCGATTTAGGCTGGATTTTAGATTTTGGCCCCTTCTCTGATTGAGTTCGACACCCCTAGGATAGAGCATCGGCCTGCGGACTGAAGGGTCCCAGGTTTGATTCCGGTCAAGGTACCTTGGTTGCAGGCACATCCCCAGTGAGGGGTGTGCAGGAGGCAGCTGATCGATGTTTCTAACTCTCTATCCCTCTCCCTTCCTCTCTGTAAAAAATCAATAATATATTTCTTTAAAGTAACCTGGCCAAAACCGGTTTGGCTCAGTGAGTAGAGCATCAGCCTGCAGACTGAAGGGTTCCAGGTTCGATTCCAGTCAAGTGGCATGTACCTTGGCTGAGAGCACATCCCTGGTGGGGGGTGTGCGGGAGGCAGCTGATCGGTGTTTCTCTCTCATCGATGTATCTAGCTTTCTATCCCTCTCCCTTCCTCTCTGTAAAAAATCAATAAAATATATTTTAAAAATAAATACATAAATAAAATATATATATTTTTTAAGCAACCTGGAACACGGGATGAGAACGCCGGACTACAAGACCCAGCAACCACTTCGCCTAACCCTAGAACCAGCCCCGGTCCCAGCAGGCTTTGCGGCGGGGGCGGGGCCAGGAGCGCGCGCCCCCTCCCCTCGTCCTCCTCCGCGGGGACTGCGCGGGCCCGAAACAGCTGGGGAGCACTGGTCCTTGGGGGACAGGCCTCCGCATTTCGGTTTCTTACCTGCTCGGCCTAGGCCGCAGCCTCCTGATAGCTCTGCCTCCAAACACCGACCCCGCGAAGGGAGGGACGTGCGGAAGGCTCCAATCGGAGAGAGCATGTATTAATACCGCCACTTCCCCCTCCCCGAGCGTGGGCTAGTGTTAGCCCCGCCCCTTCCGCCCAGCTATTTAACGCTGTGGGTGGCTGTCCTCCTGTCAGTCAGAGGAGGTGCAGGGCGACTCCTAGTCTGCTTCAGCCGCCTGCGGGGGGAGGACTGTGTTGAACTGTTTAGGTGTAAGATGTCGGGAAGTAACTTGGGCGACGGAAGCGAGGAGCAGGTGTCTGGCGCTGCGGTCCTCGCCCAGGCCCTGAAAGCGCAAGTACGAGGGACTTGCCTGCGGTGACAAGGCGCCTACGGGAGCCGGCGAGGGCCCGGCCGTGCTGGACACCAGTATTGCCAGCGCTGGGGGGCGGGGAGGGAAGGGGGACAGAGGGGTGTCATTGGAAAGGAGGGAGGTTCGCGTGAAGTTTTTCCTTTTAGCGCCCCGGAGGGAACCGTGTGTTGGGGTCCGTGCACTTATCCCCCTGTTCTTGGCCCACCAGGATGTGCAGTACATGTTTGGCATCGTAGGCATCCCAGTGACCGAAATCGCCGTGGCCGCTCAGCAACTGGGCATCAGATATGTGGGGATGAGGAATGAGCAAGCGGTGAGTATGGGCGCCGGGAGCCCAGGGCATATTGTTAATAATTAATAATAAAGGCAAATACTCATTGCAGACACTCAGTGCTTACGGCTGTTCCAATACTTGACACGTGTCAATCACAACAACTTTTTAAAAATATATTTTTACTGATTTTTCCACAGAGAGGAAACGAGAGGGACAGAGAGTTAGAAACATCTATGAATCAGTTGCCTCCTGCACACCTTCCCACTGGGGTTGTGCCCCCGACTGGAATCGAACCTGGGATCCTTGAGTCTGCAGATCGACACTCCATCCACTGAGCCAAAACCGTTAGGGCAATCAATCACAACAATTTTATGAAGCAGCAACTATCAATCCTAGTTGACAGGTGAGAAAAGTGAGACGAGGGGTTAAGTAACTTGTCTGAAATGACAACTGTTATGGCGGAGTCAGGATTTGAACCCAGGAATTCTGGGTCTGGATTCCTTGCTCTTTGCACTATATAGTAGAGCCTAGAGTTACGTGGGAGATCCGTTCCTACAGCGGCAAGGTAAAGCTACCTCACTCACATGGAGCACATACACAGCAGTAATGAAGTGAAACAGTAAAAAAAAAATTTAATGAAAGATAACAATCCCTGACCTTTATTTGTGGTAAATAAGTAATAAAAAACAGAAAGCACATATGTACATACGTTGAAATGGCAACTTTATTTTTATTTGATTATTTAAAAAAATGTATATTTTATTGATTTTTTACAGAGAGGAAGAGAGAGGGATAGAGAGTTAAAAACATCAATGAGAGAGAATCATTGATCAGCTGCCTTTTGCACACTCCCCACTGGGGATGTGCCGGAATTGAACCCAAGACCCTTCAGTCCGCAGACCGAAGCTCTATCCACTGAGCCAAACCGGTTAGGGCCGGAACTTTATTTTAAATAAATAAATGGAAGATGGTGATGTAACCATGAAATGCTGTTTGTCGAGTCTGATGTAACCCAAGGACTGCCTGTACACTGCTCTGCGAAATGTGTCAGAATTGGGACAGTTTCCATGTCTGAGTCTGGGTCCCCTGTCTTTCACTCTCATAACTACCTGTTACGTGTTTATTTCTGTGCATTATTCCACTGGTCTGATTCCCCTATTAGTCTTTGAGCTCCAGGAGGATAGGGGTATTATCTCTTCCTGACACATCTGTATCACCTAGGACAGTGATCAGCAAACTCATTAGTCAACAGAGCCAAATATCAACAGGACAACAATTGAAATTTGTTTGGAGAGCCACATTCTTTAAACTTAAACTTCTTCTAACCCCACTTCTTCAAAATAGACTCGCCCAGACCGAGGTATTTTGTGGAAGAGCCACACTCAAGGGGCCAAAGAGCCGCATGTGGCTTGCAAGCCGCAGTTTATCAACCACGGCCCTAGGTGGTTCCTGCACGTGGTAGGTTCTCAGTACCTGTGCTATGAATGGGGGAAGGCCAGGTCGCATGTCATGTAGCAGGTGTCCCTGCAAGGTGACATGTCACAGAAGGTACAGCTATGATTAGAACTCAGGTGTCCTAAATCCCAGGCCAGTGCTTGTTCTACCACATCACGCTGCTACTGTTCTTAGAGGCTTGGCTCAATGGTTGAGCGTCAGGCTATGAACCAGGAGGTCACAGTTTGATTCCAGTCAGGGCACATGCCCAAGTTAAGGGCTTGATCTCTGGTGGAGGGGATGCAGGAGGCAGCCAATCAATGATTCTCTCACATCATTCATGTTTCTCTCTCTCCCTGTCCCTTTCTCTCTCCCACTTTCCTCCTCTTTTTCAATATGAAATCAATAAAAAAAAAAAAAAGAAGAAGAAGAAGAACAAAGAAAGGCAGCTTCAAGCTTTATCAGTCCCCATAATCTTAGCTGCAGGCCTCCTTGGGTCTCAGGTACTTCCTTGGACACTGGATGTGGAGATGAACGACAGTTCCTGTCCTTGAGCAGCTTATAACCTAGCTGTGGAGACAGGCACAAACGAACAGTTTTATTATAATGCGGTAAATACTGTGGTTGAGATATATCCAGGGTGCTGTGGAAGTCCAGAAAGAGATACCGTGCTCAGCCTAAGACTTCTGAGGGCTCCTGGAGGAGAGGATGCCAAGCTGTGTTAAAGGGTGAATAGACTTAACCAGCTAGGAAGGAGAGGACAGGCTCTCCTGGAGGCGATTCCGAGGTTGGGGCTTGCTTGACTGACTAGTTGGATCATCGTGCCACTGACTCAGTTGGGGAATACAGAGGAAAGAGCCAATTTGAAGAGGAAAAGTAATGAGTCTCAATTTGGTCATGAGTTTGAGATGCTTGTAGGACATTCCTAATGCATAAGGAATGTCAACCTGACTTTTTGCAGTAGTCAAAGGAAGACCTAACTAGAGAACGTGAGAACAAAAATACAAATTACTAATATCACTAATGAAAAAGGAGACCAATGTGTTGAGGAGGAAATAACAATGGAAATTTTGAATTGAATGATAATTTAAAAAAAAATGCGATTGCCAGCCCAGCCAGTCCATCAAGAAGTCACCGGTTCAATTTCTGGTCAGGGCTCATGTCTGGGCGGGCTACATCCCATGTAGGAGGCAGCCAATCCATGATTCTCTCTCATTGATTCTCTCTTCCTTCCTCTCTTTATAAAATCAATAAAAATATATATTAAAAATGATACCAGCGGAGACTTGTTTGGCTCAATGGATAGAGCGTCGGCTTGGGGACTGAAGGGACCCGGGTTCGATTCCGGTCAAGGGCATGTACCTTGGTTGTGGGCATATTCCCAGTGGGGGTGTGCAAGAGGCAGCTGTTTGATGACTCTCTCTCATCGATGTTTCTAGCTCTCTATCTCTCTCCCTTCCTCTCTGTACAAAATCAATAAAAAATATATTTTTAAAAAAATGTGATACCAAACTTGTGATAGCTAAAGCAGTTCTTAATGGAAATAGTTTCAAATGCATCTATTAATAAAGAAGTTCAAAAACTTCAAATGTAAGATTACATTTTAAAAAGCTAAAAAAAGAAAACCAAATTAAACCCAAAATTAAAGGAGTAAAATAATAAAAGAGCAAAAATAAATGAAATAAGCGAAACTGGTTTGGCTAAGTGGATAGAGTGTCGGCCTGCAGACACTCTTGTTAAAAAAAAAAAAAAAAAAAAAAAAAATATATATATATATATATATATATATATATATATGAAAAATCAATAAAATATATTTAAAAAAATAAATAAATGAAATAGAAAACAAATGAACAACAAAAAAATCAGTGAAGTAAAAAACTGGTTCTTTGAAAATATTAATAAATTTGACAAATCCCTAGCAAGACTGATGAAGAATAAAAGGGCAAAAAACACACAAATTACCAATATTAGGAACAAAAAAGGGAACATTTCTCTTGATTTTGAAGATATTTAAGCAATTGTAAGAAGAAATATTTTTTATTAGGAGTTTTATACTTATTAAAATCTACTTAGACATATTTAAGCATGGATTTTTAAAATCATATATATATATATATATATATATATAAAATTAAAGCAGAAATTGATTAAGGTATTCCTAAAATTTCTTTTCATTTAGAGCCCTGGTCCTCTGAATCACTTTGTATACTTATACATATGTGTATTTTTAATTAATTTTTAAATTTATTTTTTAAAATATTTTTATTGATTTTTCTTACAGAGAGGAAGGGAGAGAGATAGAGAGAGAGCTAGAAACATCGGTGAGAGAGAAACATCGACCAGCTGCCTCTTGCACACCCCCTACCGGGTATGTGCCTGCAACCAATGTACATGCCCTTGACCGGAATCGAACCTGGGACCTTTCAGTCCGCAGACCGACGCGCTACCACTGAGCCAAACTGGTTTCGGCCTTGTGTGTATTTTTTAATTGTGGTAAAAAAAATCATAAAATTTGCCATCTTAACCATTATTAAATGCACAGCTCTTAACCATTTTTTTAAGTGTACATTCACATTGCTTTGTAACAGCTCTCCAAAACTTTCTATAGAAACTGGAACTCTGTACCCATTAAATAACTCCCCATTTACCCTGCTCCCATAGCCCCAGGCAACCACCATTCTCCTTTCTGTTTCTGTGAATTTGACTACTTTAGATACCTCATGTAAACGAAGTTATACAGTATTTGTGTCTGGATTATTTCACTTAGTATAGTGTCCTCAAGGTTCATTCATGTAGCATGTGCCAGGACTTCTGTTTTTCTTTTGTTTTTTAATTCTCATTTCACTTTAAAAAAAATTATCTTTATTGTTGAAACTATTACAGATGGTCCCTTTTCCCTCTCCATTCATCCCTTCAACTCCACTCTGGTCCCCTTCCCAGGCCTTCCCCAAATTATTGTCTGTCAATGCGCTATTCTTATAAGTTCATTGGCTAATCTCTGCCCACCTGTTCCCTCTGAAATACATCACTCTGTTGCATGCTTCATTGTTTTTGGTCACTAGTTTATTTTGTGTAAGAGGATATTGTGAATAAACTAGATCATATGGGCAAATTCCTTGAAAAACAAAAACTAGATTCAGTAAACCATTATTTGGAATTTACAGGTAGAACATTACTTGTTAAAATAGAAGGTTTTCCAGTTCTTTCTTCACAATTAAGTTCTAGTCTCTTACTTAATAATACATTATTAGCTATAACTGGTTTGGCTCAGTGGATAGTGTTGGCCTGTGGACGGAAAGGTCCTGGGTTTGATTCTGGTCAAGGGCACATACCTTGGTTGCAGGCTCGATCTCTGCCCTGGTTGGGGCCTGTGTGGGAGGCAACCAATCAATGAGTTTCTCTCACATTAATGTTTTTCTCTCTCTCTGTCTCTCCTCCTCCCTTCCACTCTCTCTAAAAAATTCAATGGAAAATAATATTGGGTGAGTGTTAAAACAAAAATTAAGTTATTATACATGTGATTATTAGAAGGATCCCAATATGCTCAAGTCCCAGTGTTGTTTTTTTTGTGTGTGTTTTTTTTATAGGCTTGTTACGCTGCCTCTGCGGTTGGATATCTGACAGGCAGGTAAGCTAAAGTCTTTGTTTTATTTCCATTTCTTTTCAAGGCTGTCTTAATCACGGGTTCCTACAGAAATGCTTTATAAATGTAAAATAACAAAGTGAATTATATGAAGATAACTTTTCCTTGGTGTTGTAAGCTTAGAAAGTTATCAAGGGTAAAGCATTCAAATTCAATTTTAAAGAGTTGGACAGAACACTATATTTCAAAATTACTTTCAAAGGTCAATTGACATTATATTTACTTGTTAAGAAAAATTTTAAAGATACTCTGTTTTTCCATTCACAAATGTAATCAGCACTCAAAATTTTGCTTCTGTATGCAGTCAACGTGTCTTAGCCAGATATAATAAGAGTAAAATGTGAAGAGGTTAGTGAAACACCATGTGAAGATGATAGGTACCTTATTTCCTGCAGGAAGACTAGTATCTTTCTATTTTTTTTTTTCTAATTCAAAAAATATTTTAATAATTGTTTTACCAATTGTAGAAAAGACCTATATGCCCTTCCTCTGAAGTCCAAGAACGTTACCATGTTTCACTGTAAGTGGTATGAATCAAGTCTTGCATTTGACTTGTTTTTAATAAAAACAATTGTTTTGCTTTTAGGCCGGGAGTATGCCTTGTTGTTTCTGGCCCAGGTCTCGTGCACGCCTTGGGTGGTATGGCAAATGCAAACATGAACTGTTGGTAATTAGATTGTTATTATTGAAAATATTTTCTTAAGAATGTCAGTGCATGATTTTATATATGGAGCAACTGCTGGTCTGGGGTGGAAAAACTTAAGTGCTTAAGAGAATGGCTTAATGAAAATTAAATGAAGAAGAGTGTTAAGAAAATTTTAAAACTATCAGTAATTCGTGCACCTAGAAACCAATACTGAATACACACTCGCACACACACATACATGCAGGTGTGGGCAAAAGTAAGTTTACAGTTGTTTATATGAAAAAAGACATGCAGGTTATGGTTACTACAATAGCTTTATTAAAAACTCAAAAGAATGTCACAGTGGCAAAAAAAAACCCACAAAACCCCAAAAACCAAAACATCGACTTTGCCCACTCCTGTATATCTGTATATGTATTTGAACATGTGTGTAGTTCTGTTTAAGTGAATAATTATTTTTTTATTTTATTTTTTTATTTTTTTATTTTTTAAAATATATTTTATTGATTTTGTACAGAGAGGAAGGGAGAGAGATAGAGAGCTAGAAACATCGATCAGAGAGAGTCATCGATCAGCCGCCTCTTGCACACCCCCTACTGGGGATATGCCCGCAACCAAGGTACATGCCCTTGACCGGAATCGAACTCGGGACCTTTCAGTCCCCAAGCCGACGCTCTATCCATTGAGCCAAACCAGTCTCGGTGAATAATTATTTTTTTAAATATCTTAGATCAGTATGCAAGAATGTATTAAATTATTCATCTTTTCTTACATAATTGGCAAGACAGTTGAAATTAAAATTTTTATTATATTTCTTTGACCTTGTTTTTAGACCCGTCTCTGGTACTTTACCAATAAAATCATGTTAAAGGGGGTTATCTTTTCATCAATTCATAAAGTATTTATTTAAAGTTTATTATAAAAAATTTATCCTCCTCTTAATCCCAAGAATAATAGGAAGGACATAAAAATTCATTTTAAATCGCTACACCTAGAGGTTTAGCATTAGCATCCAAAAGAGGTTGTGGAGAGAGGGGCATGGAAGAAAAACATTTACTATAAATTTCAGATTTTTCTGAAACTGAGGAAGGGTTCTCTGACATTAGGTTATTTCCTAAATTTTTAAATCTACAGTTTTTAGGGAAAATTTAATCCTCATTCTATGTCTCTATTTTTTAAATATCCATTTTAGTATATTCATTGGCCACTTTGCTGAATATTTTACAATTTGTAATTCTCTTTTAAAAAATGAATTTCAGGCCCTTGATTGTGATTGGTGGTTCCTCTGAAAGAGGTCAGGAAACAATGGGAGCCTTCCAGGAGTTTCCTCAGGTACCCAACTCTAAGATTTTCCTCTAGAGTTTAGTTACATAATTACACCCTGTTAAGATTTGTGGAGAAGAATATTATATGTCAACTATAAATTTTAAATAAATGCCAAAAGATTTATGGAGAAGAAATAAACTTCCGTCTATAAAATAAACAATTAAAATAAAAGAATTACTGAGATAATTTAGAGGTAAAATTCCTGAACTATAAGGCAATTTCAATGTTGATATTAAGAAAGCTTAGGCTCTGTTTATGAGCAGTCTTTTAAGAAATACACATTTTGGTCAGGCTTTTAAACTAAAAATAGGTTCTCCAAAGAGTCAAGAAAATATAGGAATAAAAATTGTTTTTGTACTATGTATCTCAGACTTTCGGGAAGTAAAATGTTGAGAGGGAAAAATCCTACTCAAACAACTACTAGTAGACTCTGGCAAGTTCATTTTTATTTTAGAGGGCTAAAGGAAAGTATTTGAAAAATTTTAAAAACTTGAAAGAATTTGTCAATGAATGCTACAGTTTTAAGAATTGTTGTAGAAAGCAAATAGGTGAGAGTGAATGTTAATTAACACTTAAGATATGAATATATTTGAGCATTTATAACACAAAGTTAAAACCATTAGGCAAAGCGTGTAGGTAAATTAGGAATCATGTGAGAACTTCAAATGGAAACATATAATTTTATATATGATTTTTAAAAATATATTTTATTGATTTCTTACAGAGAGGAAGGGAGAGGGATAGAGAGCTAGAAACATCGATGAGAGAGAAACATCGACCAGCTGCTTCCTGCACCCCCCCCACTGGGGATGTGTCCGCAACCAATGTACATACCCTTGACCGGAATCGAACCCGGGACCCTTCAGTCCGCAGGCTGACGCTCTATCCACTGAGCCAACTGGTTTCGGCTAATTTTGTATATGACTTAAACTAGATCTTGATATAGGTTAATGAAAATGTTATATTTTTATACTCTTGAAAGGAATTGCAGTGGTAGATAACAACAGCAGTTTTGTTTTGTTTTTAAAATATATTTTATTAATTTTTTTACAGAGAGGAAGAGAGAGGGATAGAGAGTTAGAAACATCAATGAGAGACATCTATCAGCTGCCTCTTGCACACCCCCTACTGGGTACATGCCCTTGATCGGAATCAAACCCGGGACCTTTCAGTCCATAGGCCGATGCTCTATCCACTGAGCCAAACCGGTTTCAGAACAACAGTTTTTTTAAAGATGTTGATATCTGTATTTGAAAAATAAGTAGAGCAGATAGTTATGTAAAAGGAAATTTAAAGTTACTACAAAAGCTTTGTAGATTAAAATAAAGCAGAAGATAATATCCATTACAAATATTTTTCCCAAAAAGGAAAATAATAGAATTTTATTAAATGAAATGAACAGTTTGAAAAGAAAGATTCAAATTTCAATTTCTTATGGAAATATTTAAAACTAAACAACATGACTATGAATAGACTGAAAGTTGGGAAGTAATCTTAATTCTATCACACTTGTGGGACTTAAGATTACCAATCATTCCGTAGATTTCATACCAAGTATCAAGAGAAACAATTTCTGTATAGTATTTTAAGGTACATTAAACAATGAAATTTTAACACTACCGAATTTATATGACCCAAACAGCATGCCAACTAAATTGTATATTCCTTGCTGTGGAATTTCTGGGCCCAACAATATACTCATTTTAATTTTTATAAGACATTGTCAACTTCCCTTCTCATTTATACTCTGACCAGCAATGAGTGCCTGCTTTCCTTTGTTATGGTAGATGCTGTGTATTATCTAAGTTTTTTATTTTTGTAAATGAAAATGGTGTCTTGTTTGATTTGCTTCCTGAATCATACTGAGGCAGAAATTTGATTGTGCTTTGCATAGGCTATTATGAAATATTCCAGGTAATGCATAGTGTCCATAGAAAGTAATGACTTAATATTTTGTCTTCTTTCAGAAGAGTAATATGACCTGTGAACTGAATTTTAAGTGATTTTCTTTTTGCATATAGGTTGAAGCTTGTAGATTATATAGCAAGTTCTCTGTCCGGCCAAGCAGCATAGAAGCCATTCCATCTGTTATCGAAAAGGTACAGTATTTAATTCAAGCCCTCCAAGTCAACTGGTTTTTCTCAGTTGCTCATATCTGTGTCATTTTTATTCTCAATTGAATGAGTAATAATTTGGAACATATTCACATAGTTAAAAATGATATTGTTAAAGAACTGTATACATTTTAATATTTACTGCCATTATATTTAATTAGAGAAACAGATAAATTAAGTCACTTTTGAAAAACAAAGTTTTTCCTGTACTTCAGTTTTTTTAATTATGGAAAAGTAAAAAAAAAAAAAGATATAATGGAATTCTGAGTACCCTTTCTTTTAGGCTTTTGCAAGATTGTTCTTAAAAATTAGTACTCATGCGTATAAAACAATCCCTTAATTGATTAAACAGCATATTATAATTTTAGTTTACCAACTTAATTTATATGTGAGCTTACATTTGAGCTTTTTCAATACCATGTGTTATAGAAATCATTTGACACGTTACAACATCACAGTTTCTGAAAACTGCCAAGTCATAGGATTAGAAAGCAGGTGAAAGTACATGTTATGAAGACTTGGCCGACAGAGCCTATTAGGTAATTTTTTTAATTTTTTAAAAAAATGTCACTGGATCATATTAAAAATATATATATATATATATATATATATAAATTGATTTTTTACAGAGAGGAAGAGAGAGGGATAGAGAGCTAGAAACATCGATCAGCTGCCTCTTGCACACCTCCCATGGGGGATGTGCCCACAACCAGGATACATGCCCCTGACTGGAATCGAACCTGGGACCTCTCAGTCCGCAGGCCAACGCTCTATCTACTGAGCCAAACTGGTTTCGGCCTATTAGGTAATTTTTAAGACGAAAGTGTAATAGAATGTCAATTTTAATGGTCTAAGTGAATAGTTACTTTACCTTTCTCCTTTTATTTTTATTTTTATTTTTATTTTTTAAATATGTTTTATTGATTTTTTACAGAGATGAAGGGAGAGAGATAGAGAGCTAGAAACGTCGATGAGAGAGAAACATCGACCAGCTGCCTCTTGCACACCCCCTACTGGGGATGTGCCCACAACCCAGGTACATGCCCTTGACCGGAATCGAACCTTGGACATTTCAGTCTGCAGACCGACGCTCTACCACTGAGCCAAACTGGTTTCGGCTATCTTTCTCCTTTTAAACAAAAATCTCTTTTAAGATACAATTGACCCTTGAACAACATGGGTTTGAATTGTGCCAGTCCACTTGTATGCAGATTTTTTTTTCAATAAAGACTGTACAGTACTATAAATGTATTTTTCCTTCTTTATGATTTTCCTAATATTTTTTGGTTACTTTATCGAATACAAAAATATATATCAATTGACTGTTTATGTTATTTCTAAGGTCAACAGTAAGCTGTTTAGTAATTAAGTTTTGGGAGAGTCAAAAGTTGTATTTTTTTATTGCATGGGGGATTGGGGTTCCAAACCCCATATTATCTAAGGGTCAACTGTATATAAAATTAATAGAGGATACTTCAAATTTAATTAAAATTGTTTATCTCTCCAACTAAGGATATCCAGAAAAATTAAAACTGTTTATTTCACAATTTTAAGTTGTTTGGGTAAAATATGATAATAAGGATTGAGATTTTTTTTTAAAACATTTTCTTTTATTTATAATAAATTTAGGCTGTAAGAAGCAGTATTTATGGTCGTCCAGGTGCTTGCTATATTGACATACCTGCAGATTTTGTGAACCTTCAGGTGAATGTGAATTCTATAAAGTGAGTAATAGTTATGCTAGATTTTTCCTTAATTGTATTACAATGCTTACCTTGAAAGGAATTTACTTAGCAGTTTATAAGTTAATCTTTTAAAAAAATATTTTTATCGATTTCAGAGAGGAAGGGAGAGGGAGAGAAAGATAGAAATATCAATGTTGAGATTTCTGTTGAGATACTGCCTCCTGCATGCCCCACGCTGGAGACTGAGCCTGTAATCCAGCATGTGCCCTGACTGGGAATATAACCGTGACCTAGTTCATAGGTCAACATTCAACCACTGAGCCATGCCAGCTGGCATAGTTAATATTCATTTATCTTAACCTTTTTTTATTTTTTATTATTGATTTCAGAGGGAAATGGAGAGGGTGAGATAGAAACATCAATGATAATCAAAGAGAATCATTTATCAGCTGCCTCCTGCACACCCCACACTGAGGATCAAGCCCGCAACCCAGGCACATGCCCTTGACCGAAATCAAACCTGCAGCTCTTCAGTCTGCAGGCCGACACTCTATCTACTGAGCCAAGCCGGCTAGGGCCATTTATCTTAACTTGATTTAGTAATTAAGTTGAATCCTAGTCAAAGGGCTTCTCTGAATTAAAATGGTATTATTTAGTAATTATTTTGGGGGTTAATTACTAAATAAAATACTTGGAGCTTCCTGAACTTATTTGGAATTATTCTTACAGTACCCATAGATAATACATTCTCATTAATATAGTGTAGTCACTTAGAGTCCTTATAGTGTAAAACAAGAGATGAGGAGACTGTTGAAAATAATTAGAACTCAACATTATAAATTTTAGTCTGACTCAGTTATTTAAAAATATTTCAACACCAGGTATTTATTACTTAAATAAACACTGAGTGGACAGGAAGTGTAAAATATTTTTCATTGGCATCTAAGTCACCCCTGGTACTGATGTGTACTTGGGTTAATGAATCGCCCTGGGAACCACTTAGTACATTTCTGCTACTGTGGACCAAGTGGCCTTCTAGTGACCACAGGGAGAAAGTGGACATTTCTGTACACTCAGAGGTTTCTAAGCAAAAGGACATCTATTTGGGAGAGTCAGAGCAAAAGGAACTCTCTTCTGCATAATACCTGAGCATGATATTCCAAATAATATTGGGCAGGGGAAGGAGAGATGAGTCTCAGGTAAGTTAACTCTGTAAGCTTTCTTTAAAAAATCTGTAAAGATTTGAATGTCCTTTTTTAAAAAAATTTTTTATATTATAATGCCTAAGTGTTGGACAGTATATTCAGGTGTTTATTCATTAGAATAAGTGAAATAAAACACTGAGGACTTGATGTCCAGAATTATTTAACTATAAAGCTTTAATATTTATTTTACTAATATATATTATGGTACTGAAATATTTGCTAACCCAGTGAATGAAAATATAGTAAGATAGTTAAAAGCATGGACTTTGAAAACAGAGAAACCTAGTTCAATCCAGTCTCTGACCCCTGGGCAAGTTACTTTACTTTCTGAATTTTCCCCCCCAATGGTGAAGATAATGGTAATACCTAACCTCATTGTTTTGAAATTTAAGTGAGAATAAATGGCACATAGTAGGTATATTTAATAATACTAGCTTTTAGGATGTTTTTACTATTACTACAACTACTACTACAATGTAAAGCCATTAACTCAAATTTCCTTTCAACTCATTTGACTATTAGATGATACTAATGAGTAACTGTTAATTTATTAGATGTGGTAAGGATATTATGGCTACATATGAGAAAGTATCTTTTATAGCTGCATGGGGAAGTTTTTAAGTCTTGATGCCTATAATTTACTTTAAAATGATTCAGGAAAAGAAATCTTTATGTGCACGTTTTTGTGTGTATGTGTGAAGCAAATGTGGTAAAATGATAGTAATTATTGAATCTACATTTTGGGAATATGGAATTTATTGTGCTATTTTTTCTACCTTTTTATATATTTTATATTTTCATAATACATTTATAAATTGGTCTCTTTTTAGTTAACAGAACTCTTTATTTCCAGGTACGTGGAGTGCTGCATGCCACCTCCTGTTAGTATGGCTGAGACTTCTGCTGTGCAGATGGCAGCATCTGTTATTAGGAATGCCAAACAGCCCCTTCTTATCATTGGGAAAGGTAGCACTGAATGAAACTCTAAATCTTGCTGGTTTTTGAAGGAATGCTGTTTCTGTTTTTAGAAGTTGTCTTCATTGTTAACATCTAGTTTAATGTTTGAAATTGGAATAAGAGTTCTCTTCATCCAATAGATAGAGCATTATTTATTAGTTTTGAAATCATAGAATTGTTGTAGAATGCCTGTTCTTGTCCTTTGGGAATATCACCTAATGCATTTCTTTGGTCTTATGAGTAATAGTACGTTTTTTTGCATTGTAAAATTTTTGTTGTTAATCCTCACTAGATGATATTTTTCCATTGATTTTTTGTTTTAGAGAGAGTGGAAGGAGGAGGAGAGACAGAGAGAGAGAAACATGGATGTGAGAGAGACACATTGATTGGTTGCCTCCCATATGCTGACTGGGGCTGGAGATGAGGTCTGCAGCCAAGGTACATGCCCTTGTCCGGAATCGAACCTGGGACCCTTCATTCCGAGGGCTGATGCTCTATCTACTGAGCCAAAACCACCAGGATAAAAAAAAAAAAAAAAAAAAAAAAAAATTTAATAGAAAATTTTGGAAACTCTAAAATTAGAAAGAAATCCTTTCATCCAAAAACATACGTTTTTAACAGGTAGTACTTTTCTATTGCTTTTTGGATTGTATATTTTATATATTATGATCATATTCTTACTTAGGTCATTTAACACTATAACATTTTTTTCATGGTCTTAATTTTCCTCCGCTAAGTTTAATTTTTAATATTTACTATGTATATACTAACACTTTACTGGCAAATATTTAAATCTTTATCAGTTTCTGTTTGTTTGTTTAGAATAGTTGTGACAAGCATGTTTGTGCATAAAACTTTTTCCATATTTAGGATATAAAACAGATTTTCAGAAAGAAAATAATTAAGTTAAAGATATTCATATTTTAAGGCTTTTGGTGCACATTGTCAGATTGCTTTCTCCTAAGGTATTGTACCAATTTATATTTCTTTGAGCAGTTTATTACAGTATCCATTCTATGTTCTAGAGCTGAGGAGGCTATAAATTACGTATGACCATATTAGTTAATTGTCAACTACTAAGGAACTAACTACATAGAAACTAAAAATTACTTAAATGGAAATGGTGAACAACAACAAAAAAAATTGAAGTCAGAGCTGAGTTGAATGCAGTTATCTATACATATAAAGAGGTAATATGCCAATTGCCGCTATGGTGTCCCCATAACGACCAATTTGCATTTTGATGCGTGGGCAGCAGGGGGCCAGAAGCTGAAGCCAAGTTCCCTGGGGGGTCTGAGAGGAGTGTCCCAGGAAACAATGGTGCCCTCCTCCCTAATCAGCACCTGCTACCTGTGAGGGTACCCATGGGCTTAAATATAACAATCCCTTCCCATTTAGATATCACTTACTTGATGAAACATTTCTAAGTTTATTAGCTCAGAACCTCTTCATGACAACCCAGTGAGGTAGGTGGAGAAGAGATTACAGTTCTCATAGTATATGCATATGTATTCAGCAATGAAGCTCAGAGGAAAAGTGTCAAGCCCAGTGGTTCACAGGGGGGCGGGGGGGGGGGGGGGGGGGGGGGGGGGGGGGGGGGGTGTTGCAATTTGACTTTAAGTGGGGGCAATTCAAGAATGAGTTAACAGTGAATTTTTTGCATTATTGTCCTAGGGGGCCTCATCTACAGCTTATCCTACATAATACAAGGCTAATATGCAAATGACCGAATAGTGGAATGACTGGTCACTATGATGCACGCTGACCACCAGAGGGCAGACACTCAACACAAGGAGCTGCTTCCTGGTGGTCAGTGTGCTCCCATAGGGGGAGCACTGCTCAGCCAGAAGCCCGGCTCATGGCTGGCGAGCACGTGGCAGTGGTGGGAGCCTCTCCTGCCTCTATGGCAATGTTCACGATGTCTGACTGACAGCTTACTAAGCTGTCAGTTGGACATCCTCTCAGGGCTCCCAGACTGCTAGAGGTCGCAGGCCAAGCTGAGGGGCCCTCCCCGCAAGTGCACAAATTTCATGCACTCAGCTTCTAGTATGATATAATAGCTCTCTGATCTTGGCAAATAAGTGCTTTGAGTCTCAAGTACCTTACTTGTAAAAAAAATATTAACTATCTCAGTAGTATTATTATAATTAACACAACAAATAGAGAAAATTTAGTGGGTGTTCGTTTTTATTCTTTCTCTAACCAATATCAATGAGTGATGATAAGGCAGGGAGCCTAGAAAATGTTTTTGAGGTAAACAGAGAAATAATGGTACCCCTACCTATAGTGAAATAGACCTGGTAACAAGTGCAGTATACTCTTAAATGGTGTGTATAGAAGTGAGGTGGCTTCTCAAGGGAAGCAGTCGTTGTCTCATGGAGCTAGTTGGTGTTGACAGGCTAACCAGAAGAGATAATACTGAGGTTACACCTTGAAAAAATGTTTGATAAGTCCCTCAATAGACAAAGGGAACAAAGGCAGTTTGGGAAGAGAGAACTGGGTAGGCAAAAGATACTGCGGTAAGAAGGAGAATGGAAGAAACTTCCCAGATAAGAAAAAGCAACTACTTTTCCTCCTATATGTCTGAGAAAAGATCTTTTTAAGGCAGCTTTTTTTTTTTTTTTTTTTTAAATCCTTTCCAGAGGACATGCTTAGAGAGAAGAAGGAAGAAAGAGAAACATCTAGGTGAGAGGGAAACATCTATTGGTTGGTTGCCTTCCATACATGTCCTGACTGGAGAATGACCCCACACATGTGCCCTGACTGGGAACTGAACTGGCATCCTTCCGGTGTATGGGACAATGCTCAACCAACCAAGCCACTCTGGTTGGGCTAAGGCAGTGGTCGGCAAATTGCGGCTCGAGAGCCACAGGTGGCTCGAGCTGCGGTTTGCTGCTCTGTTGACTAATGAGTTTGCCGACCACTGGGCTACGGTAATTTTATGAGGAGAACATTATATTGAATCTGAAGGTACACTATTTACTGGAATTCAGTAGAGGATTGTAACTCCTGAATATGGAGTAATATTCTACTAGCCCATAAAACTAAGTGGCTAAAATGAAATATAGTGACCTGGATGACATTAGAAATGAAATCATCCCTATATTCAAACAGTGAGTTTGAAATGGGCATACTGCTATTCTGTAGGCACACACTGTAAAAATAAATGCTATGTGGGCCGCTTGGGTTAACCTGTTGCAGTCACAACACTGTATACAGCCTGTGAAGAGATCTACAGAACTTTAGAAACGTGTGCCCCTTGTTAGGATTTCCATGCCTAGACTAGGAGATTGCAGTCCACATTAGCTGGTAGCAATGTGTGAGGCGGAAGGGAGCCTTCCCCTGGGAGGGCAAAGTCCTTTCTTAATTAGGCCTATCAGTAAATACAGTATGTTCAGGGAATTGTGAGTAGTGATTCAGTAGAACTATAGCATAGAACAGGCAATTGAGAGCAGCAAAGATGTTAGATGTAATTTTTGTTATGAGCATCCTTTAGGAGAATTGAGATTATTTTTTAGAATATATTTTTATTGATTTCAGAGAGGAAAAAGGAGGGAAAGAGAAACATCAATGATGAGAGAGAATTGCTGATCAACTGCCTTCTGCATGTCCCACACTGAGGATCAAGCCCACAACCCAAGCATGTGCCCCGACTGGGAATTGAACTGTGACCTCCTGGTTCATAGATCAGCATTCAGTGAGAGCCATGTTGGCCGGGCTGGATTGAGAATAATGTTAGAGAAGAAACTACAACTATAGCTTTTTTTTTTTTTTTTAATCCTCACCCAAGGATATATTTCTATTGAGTTTAAAGAGAGAAGAAAGGAGAGGTATATGCTCTCACTGGGAATCAAACTCTTTATCCTTTTGTGCACAGAAGGACATTCCAACCAACTGAACCACACTGGCTAGGGCAGAACTATTGCTTGCTTAAACATTTTTAAATACCAAAGATAAAAACCATAATCATTTGTTTTGAGTTTAAGCCTGTATAAGCAGGAGAAAATTTGAGAAATTTTGAAGGCAATTTCACATGAACTGTTTTAAGGGTCCGGAGCTTAATTTGACTTGTCCAATACATTTATTTGCATTTCTTGTAGGTGCTGCTTATGCCCATGCAGAGGAGGGAATCAGGAAATTGGTGGAGCAATGTAAATTGCCATTTTTGCCCACCCCCATGGGAAAGGGTGTTCTCCCTGACAATCATCCAAACTGTGTAGCTGCTGCCAGATCCAGGTGCGTAACATTCCAGATTTTAATTAAATACAGTGGCTTGGCAGATTTTAGGCTAATTTAAATTATCATGTGACTTTAATGAATCTAGGAGTTCTGAAATAATCATGTAATTTTAAGCACACCTGTTTATTTTTAGACTTTTCAGCACTTTTAAGATGTTGTTCACTATCTCCTGAAACTCATGATTTCAGATGAGAAATCTGCAGTCATTTGAATCATTGTTGCCCTATATGTAATATATTGTTTTTCTACAGCTGCTGTCAAGATTTTTTTTTTAATCTTTGGTTTTCAGTAGTCTGATCATGATGTGTTTGGACATGGTTTTCTTTTTTTTCTTTTTCTTTTTTAAAAAATATATTTTATTGATTTTTTATAGAGAGGAAGGGAGAGAGATAGAGAGATAGAAACGTCGATGAGAGAGTAACATCGACCAGCTGCCTCTTGCATGCCCTTTACGGGGGATGTGCCCGCAACCAAGGTACATGCCCTTGACCGGAATCGAACCCGGAACCTTTCAGTCCACAGACGGACATTCTACCACTGAGCCAAACCGGTTTAGGCTGGACATGGTTTTCTTTTGGTTTATCCTGTTTGGTGTTTTCTGATCTTCTTGAATCTATAAATGGTGTATTTCACCAAATTTTGAAAGATTTTAGTTATGATTTTTTCAAATATTTTTTTGTACATTAATCTCTTTTCCCCTTTTGGAATAGTACAAATATTAGCCATGTTGATGATGTCCTATAGGTCCCTGATTATCTGTTCAGTTCTTTTTAATCCTTCTATCTCTTTCATATTTTCTGTTTGTCTGCTGAAAACTTTTATTTTTCTATGTATTTCAAGAGTATTTTTGTTTACCTTATGTAATATAGTTATAATAGCTACTTGAAAGTCTTTTTACTAATGCCAATGTCATCATAGAATTAGTGTCTATTTTCTTTTCTTCTAAAGAAAACATATATTTTTATTGATTTCAGAGAGGAAGGGAGAGGGAGAGAGAAAGATAGAAACATTAATGATGAGAGAGAATCATTGATCGGCTGCCTCCTGCACACCACCTACTGGGGTTCGAGCTCACAACTTGGGCCCGATCCCTGACCAGGAATTGAATCCACACTGGCTGGGCTCATTATCTTTTCTTTTGAGAATTGCTCACATTTTCCTATCTTTTTTTTTGTGTGTATTAATTTTGGATTGTACCCTGAAATTTTGAATATTACGTTGTGAGAAGCTAGGTTATATTGAATCAACAATTTCAAGAATTTTAGAGTATCTATAAGTAAATCTATTTTTCCACTTGTAGTTTTTATCAACTTGTGAAATTGGGTCCACAAGACCAGTACAGTATGTGAAGATAGCTTTTTTGACTATATACTTGAAATTATAACTGAATTTCTGTGAAAAATAGGCCATACTACCAGAGAAAACAAAAGCAAAAGAACAGATTCTCTATGACAAAAAAATAGGGAAAAAATGGAAATAGCCAAGAAGCAGAAACGATGTTAAAACAAACAAACAAACACCCACAGCAATTATGATAATGAATTCTCCTGGAAAAAGACAGAGACATTCAGATTGAATCACTAATAATAAGTTACATGCATTATAACAACCACATCTAAAACAAAATAAAAAGAAGCAAAGATGTATGAAGTAAACAAAAAGAATGCAAGGGTGGCTATATTAATATCAGTGTGGACATAAAAATAATTTATATTGACAAAAATATTAAGATTTAAAACTATTAAAAATTTACTTGGTATAATTTGTAAAGCAATTCAGAAATGTGAATCAGTCATCATAAAAATATATGCTTCTAGGAATCAGTATGAAGTGTATATTAAGATTTAATAGTCCTGGTCGGTATGGCTCAATTGTTTGAGTGTCATCCTATGCACTGAAAAGTCGCAGGTTTGATTCCTGGACAGGGCAAATACCTAGGTTGAGGGTTCCATCCCCAGTCAGGGTTGTATAGGAGACAGCCAATCGATGTTTTTCTCTTTCTTTTCTCTGTCCCTCTCTCTTCCTCTCTCTCAAATAAAACACACACCACATTTATTTTTAATTTAAGCATAAAAATGTGCAACCCAGTACTATTAATAACAAATAAAATATCCAACAATTGAGAAAAGGGTTAATAAATTTAATATATGTGTTCAACAAAGCATGTAGCCTTTAATTGTATTTAAGAAGAAATTAATGACAAAGGAAAATATTTATATAAACAAAAGTGCATGAGACAATATTAAATAAGCTCAACTATGTATCAATATAATTGCATAGAAAAAGAGACTCGATGAAAATAATGCCAGGATAGTAATAATAGTTTATAAGTTCAGATTATTATTAGTGCTTTTGTTTTTTTCTTTATACATTCCCTGCTTTTCCAGATTAGCCACAGTGGAATTGTATTAATTTTTCTAGTGGTAAAATGTAATAAATGAAATAGATTATAGATGCTGTCCTATGGTAATACTTTCTACTTATTTAATCTTTTATATTACTATTTAAATAGAAGGGCATTATAAATTATTTTAGATTGAAAGACCAAATTTACTGTAGAAGCTGATTCTGAAGACTAATATAAGTTCTCAATTATTTAGGCTTTTCCAAATACTTTAGAAATTAATCTTATAATAATCAAATAAGAAATAAGGATATACTTTTTGTGTCATCAGACATTTTCTTTTTAATAGGGCTTTGCAATTTGCTGATGTAATCGTGTTATTTGGTGCCAGATTAAATTGGATATTGCATTTTGGACTGCCTCCAAGATATCAGCCAGATGTGAAGTTTATCCAGGTACCCAGAGAAGACAGATTTAAAATCAGAGCTATTTGTAGTTCAGTGTTCTCCCTCTTGGCCATTATCAGCTCTGCTCTCTTTTTGGCTTTTATAAAGAACCATTTTCTTTTTATAACAGTAGAATTGTATACATTGTCTAACATAATTACAGGTACCAAAGCAAGCTTCCTTTTCAAGCCTATGAAACAATGTACCACTTTACTTCTAACCTAAAAGACCTTTCAAAATCAAGTTTTAAATAGTTTGAAAAGCATAATTTGCCTCTCCTCAAAGTTCAGGTATATTTAAAGGTAGGCAAAAGACATTTAAGTAGGATGGTAGATTAGAACAAAACATTTAGCATTGTTAGGGATTGAGTTGTTATTTTAGATATCCAAACTTTTAGATATCTATTGTTAGAAATCTCTAAACAATGCTGCTTTTATCTGTTATTAAACAGAGTGTTTAGAATATACTCCTGATGATTCTTGTATCATTATGACCCCCTTTGTAAACCAGTTTCCTTACTGGTGTAGAAAGTACTGCCCATGTAAAGCTGTTCACCCTTATAGATTGGGTATGGTATTTGATGATCCAGCTACCATTGCTATCTTCTCCTTATTTACCTTTTACTTAAGGAGTCAACTTCTTTAGTCCATTTCCCCCCTAGGGCCATTGAGAAAACCACAAACAAGCAAGACTTGGGTTGTACCTAAAAAAATGCTGCCACTTCTTTGATTGCACCTCTTGGTTAGAGAATAAAGTGCATCCCCTTTGGGTTGACTGAATTACTCATCTTGACAGAAGCTATTTTTACTTGCCTAGGGCCAGCCAGAAACTGAGCTTCTGAGTAAATGGAAAGTAGCCATGCCATGCCCTCCTAGTGATTCTTTTCTGTTTTTAAAACATATTTATTTTCATTGATTTTTAGAAAGAGAGGAAAAGAGAGGGAGAGAAAACAACTTAAAATGAAAGCAGAACATTGATGAGCTGCCTCCTGCATCCCCCACTGGTGGTCAAGCCCAACCAACTGAGCCACACTAGCCAGGGCTCTAGGAGTGATTCTTAAAATGTGGGTCCTGACCAGCAGCGTCAGCACCATCTGGGAAGCCCCACCCAAGACCTATTAAGGTCAGAAACTCTGATGTGGACTCTTGCAGTTTATAGTTTAACCTACCAGGGGATTCTTATATATGCTAAAATTTATAATATAACTTATATTATAACATATAACTTATATATGCTCTAAAAAGGAATTCCAGTGTAATTAAATAGAATCTTATTGATTAGATTCAAAACTATAATTGATCAAATCACATGTATTTCTGTGGGTATAATGGAATAATACCAAAATCCTAGAATAGAATTGAGGGAAGATGATGAGGTTTCTATACTAGTTATGAAATTCATATCGTTCCATGGATTTTTACTTTTATTAAGGAATTTCTTATTTTTTAAAAAAGATTTTTATTGATTACAGAGAAGAAGGGGGAGGGAGAAAGAGAAAGAAACATCAATGATGAGAGAGAGAATTCTGTACGCCCCTACTGGGGATTGAGCCTGCAACCCAGACATGTGCTCTGACCAGGAATTGAACCATGACCTCCTGTTTCATTGGTCAACACTCAACCACTGAGCAACACTGGCCGGGCATTACCAAACTTCTTGAACATCAAATCTTTTTTTTTTTCTTCTTCTTCCATTTTTTTATTAAGGTATGTGTACATATCTTACCAATCCCCCCCCCCCCCATATATGCCTTCCCTCCCCAGAGTTTTGTATCCATTGGTCATGCTTATATGCATGCATACAAGTCCTTCGGTTGATCTCTTATCTCCCCCATATCTCTCTACCCTCTCAAATCTTTATATTATTATATAAAGGGGTAGGCAAAAGTGGGTTTACAGTTCGTATGGAAAAAAGACATGCAGGTTATGATTGTTATAATAGCTTTATTAACTAAAAGAATGTCACAGTGGCACTGTGCACTGAGGCACAAACTCATAAGTGCTCAAATTGCCAGCCTTTATTATTTACGCGTGCTTGTAGGCTACTTGCTATACTCAAGCATTCTTTGCACAGAGTTCTTTCCTACTTTAGCCCACCCTTGTATACATAGCTCATTTATTCAGCCTTAATTGACTTCTTAAAGAATTTAAGAATAAACATGGCTTGCTCCTCAGTCTTGTCTCTTTTTAGATTGATATCTGTGCAGAAGAATTGGGGAATAATGTAAGACCTGCTGTAACTCTGCTAGGAGATATAAATGCAGTCACTAAACAGGTAAGAGCTTTTGCCTGGGTTTTAATTTACATGGATTGGTCTTTAAGAAGAGATTTTTATGTTAGTAATATGTAAGTTTATTTTTAAGAAGTAAAGAAAAAGTTCGTGATTTTTTTAGCTTTTAGAACAATTTGACAAAGCACCGTGGCAGTATCCTCCAGGGAGCAAATGGTGGAACACACTGAGAGAAAAAATGAAGAGCAATGAAGCTGCATCCAAGGTAATACTGGGCCTCCAGGTTCATGGTTCAGTTCTGTCATAATATGGCACATGCATTCCCCAAAATCACCATGCTGTGCAAAATTTTGCAGTAAAAACCACTGGACTCATTGGGAAAAAGGAGTTAGCGGCACAGCTCTCAAAAACTTTGTGAAGTATTACGACAGAGACCTAATAAAAATGGTGGCAGAGTCTTTTAGATATCTCACAATATATATGGCACTTTTCTTTGAGAGAGACCTGAAGTCTCTTGGGGAAATAGACATTGAAGGGTTATAGCTTTCGAGTTTCTGTGGTGGGAGGAGGGTGAGCTGACATTGGATAGGAAGTTATAAAAGCCTCTGTGGTCAGGTGTGGCTTACTGTCCTCAGTGTGACCTTAACATCAGATTACAATTACGGTCTTTGGGAGCCTTAAATCCTGGAGCATGTTGGGAAATGTTTTTCTACTTTCAAGGTATAAGTCCTTCAAGGCGAACATTTATAATAGATACTAGATGTTTCATCACAATTGAAATTTTTATCTAATGTACAACCTTCTTTTTCTTTAAAAAAAAAAAATAAATGTTTAGCTTTATCAAGGTACTAGAGGCCTGGTGCACAAATTCATGCACCAGTGGAATCCCTCTGCTTGGCTTGCAGGATCAGACTGAAACCAGCTCTCTGACATCCCCTAAGGGGTCTCAGATTGTGAGAGGGTGCAGACCAGGCCAAGGTTCATGATTGGGACCAGAGAGGGACATGGGAGGTTGGCCAGCGGGGAGGGACCTCGGGAGGGCTCCAAACTGTCCAGCCCAGATCAGCTGGACTCCAGCAGCAAGTTAACCTATCAGTCAAAGCATCTGTCCCCTGGTGGTGAGTTCACATCATAGCGATTGGTCGACCAGTCAACTGTTTGCCCCCTGGTGATCAGTGCACATCATAGCGACTGGTTGACCAGTGGTCAGTGCATCTCATAGCGAGTGGTTGAACAGCCTTAGTATATCATTAGCATATTACACTTTGATTGGTTGAATGGATGATCGGACAACTGGACACTTAACATATTAAGCTTCTATTATATAGGGTGATTGACATACAAAGTTGTAAGATATCTAAAGATACATCATGGTGATTTAATATACTCCACGTTATGAAAGGGTTTCCCCATCTAGTTAATGAACGCATCTGTACCTCACATTTATCATTTTTGTTTTGTTTTGTTTTTTAGTAAGAATACTTACAACTTTCTTAATTCAATTTGTTTATACTGGGAATTCTTTTGTGACTTCTTCACCTGCACTTGTGGCTTTGCTTGATAGCTTGACTTTGGAAATTGTAATGTGTGAAACCATTCACTACTAGCACTAAAATGAGTCATTTCTGCAGGATTTAGTGTTTACTGTTTACAGTTTGTTGGCAAATGGCCCCTTGAATGTGGCTCTTCCACAAAATACCATGGCCTGGGCAAGTCTATTTTGAAGAAGCGGCGTTAGAAGAAGTTTAAGTTTAAAAAATTTGGCTCTCAAAAGAAATTTCAATTGTTGTACTGTTGATATTTGGCTCTGTTGACTAACGAGTTTGCTGACCACTGCCCTAGCTGGTTTGGCTCAGTGGATAGAGCGCTGGCCTGCATAATGAAGGGCCCCAGATTCAATTCCAATCAGGGACATATGCCTGGGTTGCAGGATCGATCCCCAGTTGGGCATGTGTAGGAAGCAGCCAATCAGAGATTCCCTCTCATCATTAATGTTTCTGTCTCTTTCTCCCTCTCCCTTCCTCTCCAAAAGCAATAAAAAATATATATATATATTTTAAAAGTCTTTGTATATAGGTAGTGCTCTCTCTTTGTGAGAAAGGTTGTTCCTGATTTCCCCCCCCACTATTTTTTGTATTTCTATGCATCTTTGTTCAGCTGGGTGTAGTTTTCTGTGTCCATGTAGCGTATCTCACTGATGGAATCATACATGAGCAAATATGAAATTTGAGTTATGCTTATGTTGTTCCCTAATATGTCAAAACAAGCAGAATTGATTATACATGATTCTGTCTTTCATCTGAATTTTAATCAATGACTGTTTCTCTTATTAAGAGCCATCACTTCTATTTCCTTAATGGTATCATGATTAATTCCTTCTGTTCCTATGAATTGCCTCAGTTTAAGATGGAAAGAAGTTGCCTATCCTCCCTGGTGCAGGAGTATAGGAGGGTTCCTTATCCATCTTAAGTATAATCTCCACTGGACCAAACTAGCACAGGTTGAAGAGGCAGTGCTGGGACCAGATGGGACAGTGGCTGCTAAAGCTTCATGTGGTGTTCTCTCAGCTCAGAGATGCTTTAGAAGTGAGTGAAGCATATCCCTTTTACTGTCAGTGCATGTGAGGAAGAGCCAGATTTTCAGAAATCCTGACTTCATTTTTACTTAAACTCCAGGCCATAGTTCAGGTGAAAATAGTCCAGAATAAAATTTTCATTTTTTCTAAGACTGAATTTCCCTAAAAGTACTCAAATAGGACTATTTCAATGTGTTTAACCCAGTGTTTCCAGTTATCTTTACTATAGAACTTCTCAGTTTTTAATATGTTAATGTGCATTGTTGCTGTCCAGGAAGAGGGATGTTCTCAGCTTTATTCTAGGACAGTGGCACCCATTTTTCTTAGCATGTCCACCGGGACTGTTCATAGATCAATTCACTTCTCAGGGTGGCCACTGGTGGCCACTTGGGAACTCGTAGCTTGCAATTGTTAACCCGTTTCCAAACAAGTTTGATAGTAGCTTATTGACAGGTATGTACTGTTTTTTCATGGTATCTCAATCTAATTTAATTATCCTTCCCTCTGATGTTTTAGGAATTAGCTTCCAAAAAATCCTTGCCTATGAATTATTACACAGTATTCTACCATGTTCAAGAACAACTACCTAAAGACTGTATGGTGGTAAGTGAAGGAGCAAACACTATGGATATTGGACGCACTGTGCTTCAAAACTACCTTCCTCGTCACAGGTAAAGTTCCCAAAAAAGAAATTACAATGAATTATTATATAATACATTAAATTTGAAACTTCAGTAGTGCAGATTAATAAAAAAAATTTGAGAAGTATACAGGTTCAGTGTATAAGGACATAGTTTGTAAAAGTATTCCTTTTTTTTAAATGTTTTATTGATTTTTTACAGAGAGGAAGGGAGAGGGATAGAGAGTTAGAAACATTGATGAGAGTGAAACATCAATCAGCACACCTCCTACTGGGGATGTGCCCACAACCAAGGTACATGCTCTTAACCAGAATCAAACCTAGGACCTTTTAGTCCATGGGCCAACGCTCTATCCACTGAGCCAAACCGGTTAGGGCTGTAAAAGCATTCTTAAGTGAGCTTGTCTAGAGTTTTTATGGTTGGTATGTCCTCAAGATCATGTGATAATTTCTGTGGTCAGTGTTCTAAGGATATATTCAGTCTTGCAATCATGAGTGACTTTTTCCTCTCATTCTGTTTATCTCTGACAAATTAGTTCTGCACAGTCTAAAACTTTATATTAAAGAAAGAGAATATTCTTACTGTTCTCTATTTTTCATGAACCGTGTGACTGTCTAGATTTATGCCAACCCCACCATCTGTGACATGCCCTAGAGAGTTTCATTTTCGCTTTATCCTCCAATAGGCTAGATGCTGGTACTTTTGGAACAATGGGAGTTGGTTTGGGATTTGCCATTGCAGCTGCTATCGTGGCTAAAGATAGAAACCCGGGACAGCGGGTCATCTGTGTGGAAGGAGACAGTGCATTTGGGTTTTCTGGCATGGAAGTGGAAACCATCTGCAGGTAAAACAGCATCCTGAACAGGGCATTTCTTTCTCCCAAATCTGAAAGAATTACACACAGACCCACTTGCCTAACAAATGCTTACTGAGCATTGATCATATGTCAGGTACCCTATGCACAGCATTGTAAAGATACTAGTATTAATAACCCCAGCGTCTTTCTCATCCAGGACAGCATGCATCTGACTTCTTTACTGCATGCCAAAATCCTGAAGAACTATAGGGCATGGTTTTGAGGTCACTGAAAAAAAATTCTATCTGAGAAAAGCTTGTTTTCTGCCAGGGGACAGCAGAGCTTGGTGCTTAAGAGCATGGCTTCTGGTCAGATGGCCTGAAGTTAAATACTGGCTTGACCACTGCAAAGCTAAGTGACTTGGGTTAAGTCACTTAACCAAGCTTCAGTCTCCTCTAGAGTAGGGTCAAGAATAGTAATAATTCCTACCTTAGAGGCCAGTTTGAGGAACAAATGGGATGATCTAGGTAAAATAAGGCGAAATGAGCTATTCAGATTATTATTATTTTAAATATTTATATATATATATATATATATATATATGTGTGTGTGTGTGTGTGTGTGTGTGTGTGTGTGTGTGTGCGCATCCACAGAGAGGAAGAGAGAGGGAAAGAGAGTCAGAAACATCGATGAGAGAGAATCATCGATCCGCTGCCTCCCGCACACCCTCCACTGGGGATGTGCCCGCAACCCAGGCACATGCCCTTGATCGGAATCCAACCTGGGACCCTTCAGTCCACAGGCTGACGCTCTATCCACTGAGCCAAACTGGTCAGGGCTCAGATTATTTTTTAAAAATAAATGAACATCAATGCTTTTACAACACTAATCTCACATTGAACAAGCTTTTATTTTTTTAAATATATTTTTTTATTGATTTCAGAGAGGAAGAAAGAGGGAAAGAGAGAGAGAAACATCAGTGATGGGAGAAAATCATTGATTGGCTGCCTTCTGCACACCCCACACTGGGGATCAAGCTGGGCATGTGCCCAGGCTGGAAATTGAACTGTGACTTCTAGGTTCATTAAGTCAACACTCAACCACTAAGCCACGCCAGCCAGGCAAGATAATTTTTATAGTTGTCAGGATTCGTGGAGAAACTTATAAGTTATAGATCCAATTGTAGAAGTATAGGGATTTTTTTTCTCTCCAATTATTTAAACTAGGAAAACAATTATATTCTTAACCAAGGCTCCTGTTAGAGTTTTAGTAAATCATGTTTTGGGACTTTCAAAGTGTTGGTATATAAAACTTTCCAGATTAGAGGGAAATTATGTGCTTGTTAGAATATCTGTATTGGCAACCAAGAAATATACTGTATACCTAAGGGAAGTCAGCCTTTTACACTGTGAAATAAAGCCATTCCCTTTGAGTATGGAGAGCAGGTAGTTACCGCAATCCTGTTACATAATAGTATGCGGTTTTTTGGGTTTTTTTTGCACCTGACCTCAGGAATTACATCTGTAGAAAATAAAGTCTATATTCTTTTGTCAGTCACTAGTAAAGTTTAATCAGCCTCTTTTGGTCTTTGTCATACTGTTTAGCACATTGTTAAATACCTCTTTTTCTCTAATTATTACCCCATGTGATGTTTTTCCAATTATGGATGAAGTTGAGAGGAGAGAATATACGCTAGTCACTTGTGTGCTTCCCACAGCATCTAGCAAGTGCTGGTTATCTATGAGGCATTCAATAAATAGAAAGATAACTTTCAAACAAAACTCCTAGACACAATCTAGAAATAATGCTTCAGAGGTATCAAGCATGAAGTCATTGTATAAACACCTGGGTTTATGAAGACCAAGGTTCAGGAAAGGTCAGTGATTTGCCCTAGGTTCATAGTTGCATAATAGTTGAACCAATCTTATTAACCCTAATCTTGCATTCTTTTTGCTACTCCATGATGTTTCTGTTAATTATTCAATATTCATTTATTAGGACAATAAATACTTAATTTTTAGTTTTGTCCTAACATTACAAAAAAAAGTTTGTGGACACTTCAGCTCTAAGGAAAGAAATTGTGTTAAAATGAAGAATAATTTTCTTTATATTTTGCTGTCAATTTTAGGTACAACTTGCCAATTGTACTTTTGGTGGTGAATAATAATGGAATTTACCAAGGTTTTGATACAGATTCCTGGAAGGAAATGTTAAAATTTGGAGATGCTACTGCTATGTAAGTACCCAGAACAATATACATTTACTTCCTCCCACAGAGGCTAGTCAGATATATTGTAATAACTTTGCAGTGATAGATAGTTAATAAACATACCATGGTAAAACAAATATAATGTTTAATCTCTTTAAAAAGTCATCTGTATTGAAATGTGCTTTCATGGTATGAGAAATGCTTGTTTATGTTGTCTGCCCCCCTAAAGGGGAACCCTGTCTGCATGGTTCCTCTTTGCACAGCTATCCATGATTGGGCACTTCAATAAATGATTTATGATCAGGGAGCCACTGAAGATTCAGATAAGTGAGTTTGATGTCTAAGCCTTGTTAATAAAGACCTTATTGCAAAGTGCTCCCAGTGCATCTTGGGAATGTCGATATTTACATCCAGAGGTCTTCCTTATATCATTAGATAAATCTGATCCCTTATCAGATACATCATATGCAAATATGTACTGTATGACCCAGCAGTTCCACTTCTGGGTATTTATCAGAAGGAAGCTAAAACAACAATTTGAAAAGATATATGCACTCCACATTCATTGCAGCATTATTTACAATAGCCAAGATATGGAAGCAATCTAAGTGTTCATTAATAGATGAATAGATAAAGAAGATGTCACACACATACACACACACACACACACACACACACACACAATGGTATGTTACTCAGCAATAAAAAGGAATTAAGTCTTGCCATTTGCAACAACATGGATGGATGTGTATTATGCTATGTGAAATAAGTCAGACAGACAGATACCACATGATTTTACTTGTGTGTGGAATCTAGTAAAACAGAACAAACAAATCAAAAACAGAGTCGTAGCCCTAACGGGTTTGGTTCAGTGAATAGAGCATTGGCTTGCGGACTGAAAGGTCCCAAGTTCGATACCTGTCAAGGGCATGTACCTTGGTTGCAGGCACATCCCCAGTAGGGAGTGTGCAGAAGGCAGCCAATCAATGTTTCTCTTTCAACGCTCTATCCTCTCTGTAAAAAATAAATAAAATATTTTAAAAGAAAAGAAACAGAGTCATAGATATGAAGAACAAACTGATGGTTTCCAGAGAGGAAGGGAAGAGGAGGATGGGTAAAAATGTTGAATAAGAAGTATAAACTTCCAGTTATAAAATATTGTATAATTGATATTATATTTATTATATGTATTTATTATTTATAGCCATTGTAGTGTATAGCACAGAGGCTAGTCAGTACTATTATAATAATTTTGCAGTGATAGATGGTTAATAGGCATACCATGGTAATCACATCATAGAATATATAAATCTCAAATCACTATGTTGAATACCTGAAACAAATGTAATATTGTATGCCAACTATACTTTAACAAAAAAAAAATTTAAACAACAAAACTAACAAAAAATTTAGTTTCTGCCTGTTCATCGTGGCTCAGTGGTTGAGCCAGGAGGTCATGGTTCAGTTCCCAGTCAGGGTACATGCCTAGGTTGTGGGCTTAATCCCCAGTGTGGGGTATGCAGGAGGCAGCTAATGAAGATTGTCTCTCATCATTGATATTTCATCTCTCTCTCCCTCTCCTACCTCCTTTCCTCTCCAAAATCAATAAAACATGCTTAAAAAAAAAAAAAAAAGAAGCAGAGCTCTTAGGACTTCAATTTAAAAAAATCTAGTTTCTTATTTTAATTAATCACAGTTCAAGTGCTTATAGCAACAGGTTGCTAGTGGCTATTACATTGGATAGCACAGATATAAAACTTTTCCATCATCGCAAAAACTTATATTTGACTTTACTATATAGATAATATGAAATATATGGACTATTTAGTGTACTGGCATTCTCAATTTAAGTGTTGTATATAAAAGTATGCCTTTCAGTTTCGTCTAAATTTTTCTATAAATTATGTCAGAGAATGGTATGATTTTCTTTTTCTACTTTTTTGTGACCTACTTTTCCAGGGCACCTCCAATGTGTCTTCTGCCAAATGCACATTATGAGCAGGTCATGACTGCATTTGGAGGCAATGGGTATTTTGTACAAACACCGGGAGAACTCCAAGAATCCCTGAGGAAAAGTTTGGCAGACAGAACTAAGCCCTCTCTTATCAACATCATGATTGAGCCCCAATCCATGCGGAAAGCTCAGGTAAATGTGATTACTAGCACGCCCTGTTATTCAGAGTTCTTTCTAAACTATTTCTGAGTTTGGTAGTTTGTTTTGCTTGTTCAGTTAATATCTGTTGAGATATGTATAAGGCGGGTGCAAAGAATAGCATGTTGAGCAAAACCAGCCTCACCTCATGGAGCTAACAGTACAACAGGGAAGAGGGATAATCCAGTCACCTCATGACTGACTGCATTAGGACAGAGTGAGGCAATTTCTCTGAAGTAAAGGAACTCAGTTCTGAATAAGCATACAACAAAGGAATCTGATTTATATGCTGATCACAGGGAAGGATTCTCTGAGGAAGTGATGCTTAAACTGAGATCCTAACGATAAATAGGGACAAACTCATCAAAGAGAATGGGAAAGAGATATATAAAAGCTTTGGCAGGAGGGAATATGGCAAATCTGAGGAGCTAAAAGAAGGTTGGCGTAGCTAGCTGAAAGGGTGCAGGAAGCACAGTGGGAGATGAAACTAATGGGGCAATTTGTGCAATTACATTCAAAATTAGTTACTTTGGTCTCTAAAGCAAAGTGTGTAGTATGATCCTTTTCCATCTCAGATTAAGTTGTTTTTCATACTTAATTTTGTACTCTGATCCTGGTCCTGCCGCTTGCCCTCTCTAATATACTGTCCTCCATGCTTGCACATTGTGTATTAGCCATTGTTTTTAGAGCCAAATAATTTTTTCAAGTAGTTTTTTACTTGGTTCTTTATACATGTATCTGCTGTGAGATCTTTTAATTTTTGAACAAGACAATGGGCAAATAGGCAAATGGACCCATCATTAAAATGTAAATCAATTTTGAAATATAAAATATATAATTCTACTGAAATTCCCTTTCTGTAAAAATAGATGTCAGAAATTTTGGCAAAAGGAATATATTGGAAATACAAAACACCCAAAAAGCAATTTACAAAGCAGCAAAATGTAAATGGTCTAAATTCTTTAATCAAAAGACATAGAGTGTGTGAGTGAAAAAAACCTGACAGAGCTATATTCTGCCTATAAAAGACTCATTTCACATGTAAGGACACACAGACTGAAAGTGAAAAGATGGAAAAAGATATTCCATGCAAATGGAAACCAAAAGAAAGCTGGGTTAGCTATACTTATATGAGACAAAATATACTTTAAAACAGACTCTAATAAAGTCAAAGAAGGAGCCCTAGTTGGTTTGGCTCAGTGGATAGAGGCATTGGCCTGCAGAACGAAGGGTCCTGGGTTCGATTCCGGTCAAGGGCATGTACCAAGGTTGCAGGCTCCTCCCCAGTCCAAGCCCTTGTCAGGGTGCGGGCTGGAGGCAACCAGTTGATGTGTTTCTCTCACATCGTCAATGTTTCTCTCTGTCTTTCCCTCTCTATAAATCCATGGAAAAATATCCTCGATTGAGGATTAAAAAAAAAAAAAAAGACAAAGACATTACATAATGTTAATAATGTTAAAGGGGTCAGTCCAACAATAGGATATATCATTTAAAAATATTTATGCATGCAACATAGGAGAACCTAAATATATTAACAAACCTAAAAGGAGAAATAGAATGCAATACAATAATAGTAGGGAACTTTAATACCCACTTAGATCATGGATAGATCATCCAGATGGAAAATCAATAAGGAAACATGATTTTAAATGACATGTTAAACCAGATGGACTTAACAGATACATATAGAATGCTTAATCCAAAAGCAACAAGTGCATATGGGACAATTTCTAGGAAAGTTCATATCTTAGGTCACAAAACAAATCTTCATAAATTTAAGAAGATTTAAGTCATACCAAGCATCTTTTCCAGCCACAATGCTCTGAAACTACAAATCAATTACAAGAAGAAAACTAGTCTTGAGGTTTGTGGAGACTAAACAACATGCTAATGAAAAACTAATGGGTCAAAGAAGAAATCAGAAGAGAAATTTTAAAATACCTTAAGACAAGTGAAAATGAAAACACAACATACCAAAACTTATGGGATGCAGAAAAAGTAGTTCTGAGGGAAGTTCACAGCAATAAATGCCTACCTCAGGAAAAAAGAAAAAGCTTGGAACTAGGAAAAAAAAGGACAAAGCCCAAAGTTAGTACATTACCCTGAGCCAAAATTTTGCTTTCCATAGTTTTAGTTACCCATGTTCAGCTGTGATCTGAAAGTATTACAGTAAATAGAAAATTTCAGAAATAAACAATTTATAAGTTATAAATTGTGCATCATCTAAGTAACGTGGTGAAATCTTGCATTGTCTGGCTATGAGCTGCATGGAATGTGAATCATCTCTTTGTCCAGCATATCCACTCTGTATATGCTAACTACCTATTAGTCACTTGTAGGTGTAGCCAATTATTTCTTTCAACTGAATGTTTGTTGTCTTTTCTTTTTCTAGGATTTTCACTGGCTGACCCGTTCTAATATGTAAATAAAGATGCCATATGTGGTCTTCAGAAGTTTTGTCTTTCCTATAAAATAGAATTTTTCCCCCCACAGCAAAATAACTAATATTAAAATTGCTATTCAAAAATAAATAAAAATATTTCTAAATGATATTATATAATAAAGTAATTGATTAAAAACAGAAAAAAAATTACTAGTATTCAACCACAGAAATAACCATTTACAGATGAAAGAAAAGAAAGGGGTCTAGCAATGTAACTTGCTTAACCATTGAGTTAACAAAGTATTCTTTTAATAAATGCATTCTTAAAGTCATTTATCTTTTAAACACATTTTTGAAGAAAAAAACAATTCTATAGTACACAGGCTTTTTCTTCTTCATTGTTTATTTGTTGACCACTATGTACCTTAGTCTCCACACAATTTAATGGGGCTTATTCCATACTTTTTGCATTTTTTTTCTCCTGGAAATAATTTATCGAGCCAGAGAAGTCACACAACACCAAAACTAATAATTTCAGGGTATATTTGGATTGGCAACTTTTGTTTATATATACCACATCAGGACCAACAGAGTCAGCAGCCTTAACATATAAAGAACTCCTATAAATAAGAAAAATATTAATGCACTCGAAGAAAAATGGGTGAAGGGCATGAACGTATAATCAACAGAAAAAATACAAAGGTCAATAAAAGTATGATTATTATGAATAAATATGAATATGTTAGACTGAAAAACACTAGTTTTGCCTATCCACTTGACAAAGCACTTTAAAAAAAAAAAATCTTCGCCAAAACTGGTTTGGCTCAGTGAATAGAGCGTTGGCCTGCAGACTGAAGGGTCCCAGGTTCGATTCCTGTCAAGGGCATGTACCTTGGTTGCGGGCACATCCTCAGTAGGGGGTGTGCAGGAGGCAGATGATCAATGGTTCTCTCTCATCGATGTTTCTGACTCTCCTCCCTTCCTCTCTGTAAAAAAAATCAATAAAATATATATATTTTTAAATCCTCACCTGAGAATATGTTTTATTGACTTTAGAGAGGAAGTGAGGGGGGAGAGAGCAAGGGAAGCATCAGTGTGAGAGAGAGACAGCAATCGGTTGCCTCCCATACACACCCCAACCAGAGGTTGACTCCACAACCTGGATATGTGCCCTGATTGAATGGAACCTATGACCTTTCTGTGTGTGGGTCAATGCTCTAGCGAACTGGGCCGCACTGCTCAGGGCAGTACAGCTCTTTTTACATTATAATTCTTAGTGTGGATGAAGGTGAAGTGAAATGGGGACTGCTATGCTGTGGTGGAAGCTGAAATTGGTACAGTATTTCTACAAAATACTAGAAGTGCCTGTTTTGGAATTTTAAAAATGTTCAGACCCCATAACTTTGACCCAGTAAGCTTATCTAGGTCATAAGCATTATCTAGAAAATAATAAAATATTTGGTCAAATAGTTATATACATACATATATGTGTGTGTGTGTGTGTGTGTGTGTGTGTGTGTGTATACACACACACACACACACACACACACACACACATATATGTATGTATATACATGAATCCGTGTGCCAGTAGCTCTCTGTGGGGCCTGGCCACTCTATGCCCACTGCCCAAAGGCCCTCCATGGCTGGGTGGAATGCTTGCCTTGTTGCTGTGATGACAAAGCAAGCATTCTGCCATGCCGCTCATGCTGCCTGCTTTCAGCGGATTGCCCCCCCCCCCCCCCCCCCCCGCCTCCACCCCGGGACTGGGACTCTAGCAGGGTTGAAAGGACTGGGCACTGATCTTGTGGCTATGGGCACCACCACCTTTGTAACAGAGTGATGGTAAATTTGCATATTACCCTTTTATTAGATAGGATATATACCATTCAGCATAGTTTTATTTTGTAACAGCCCCAGTGTTTAATAAGATATTGGTTGCGTGCATTATGATCTATTGACATTATAAAATAAAATTGTGTTAAAGTATATTTACTAATGAAAAAATAGAGGATACTATTTCGTGAAAAAGGCAAGCTATAAAATTGATGGGTTCAAGTCAGATGCACACCTGTACTCATGCACACATATGCACAAAGAGAAAAGATGGGCACAAAATAAACCTAAATTTTATAATAACCCAGTGATGGGATTATAAGAAATTTTAATTTCATTTTTCCTTCTTTTATAAAAGTTGGAAATAAAAATAATTTTGTAATTTTTATTATCAGAAACAGACATTGCCGGCATACCTCGTTTTATTGTGCTCTGCTTTATTGTGCTTCACAGATACTGCATTTTAAGACCTTCCACCAGCAAAAAGATTACAACTTGCCAAAAGCTCAGATGATGGTTAATATTTTTAGCAATAAAAATACTTTTAAGTTGAGGTATGTACATTGTTGTTTTTTTCTTAGACATAATGTGGTTGCACACTTAACTAGACTACAATATAGTATAAACATAACATGTATATGCACTGGGAAACAAAAAAACTTGTGTGACTCTATTGTGATATTGCTTTCTTGTAGTGGTTTGGGACTGAACCTGGAATGTCTCCAGGATATGCCTGTATTTTAAAAGAATATGAGAAATGGAAAAGTATCTCTTATATTCAGGGGCATTCTTGTTTATTTTCTGCAATTTTGTATGAATTGGAGCATAAGACTTTAAAGTTAAGCTTGTTTACACCATTCTTATCAGATTTTTCTATTGGCTAGTTAGGGGCGTATATGACCTCTACAAATTGATGGACTATAGCTTTGTGATGTGCACCTAGGAGATACTTGCAGGGATCTGTGGTTTTACCTGACAACCCTGAAATCGGGCCCAGTAGGCAGGGACTCTTAATGTACTTCTAAGATATGCACCAGAGAGCCTGAGCTGCATAAGAGCACAGAGAATATCCAAAGAACTATTGAGAGTGGGAAGCTCATGTAACCTCATCAATATCCTCTTCTGTCCATGGTCATTTGCCTTTGGCAGCCGAGTGCAATATAAGATTTTGCTGTAAGGTAGTGTGGAGGGCTTAATGAGTATTAGTAAATTGAACTATATGAATCTAAATACTAAATATAATTTGGGGGAAATGCTCTTTCCCTGGCCATATTATCTCAAAAAAAACAAAACAAAAACACAATGTGTTGGCAGGTTATACTGTCCAGCAGAGGGCAGCCTGGGCATATAAAGACCAGATTAGTCCAGTAGCACTTTGGTGACAAGTCTGTTGAATGCTTATTTGGTAAAAGTGATCTCAAAATTAGTCTCCTTACAGGAATTTTTCTTTAGAAGAATAAGATATTGAACAAGCCCCTCAAAAATGAATTTCTTGGTTGGTAGTCAAAACTCACTTGGATAAAATATTTTACACCCCCTATTATAATAATAAATACTCTTATGTGATTCTAGTATGTTGATACTCAAGTGCCTCATAAAAACTGAACTTTGAAAGATTATGGCTGTTTTCTTGATTAAGAAAAACTAGAGTGGGAATGGTTAGCTTCTCTAATATTCTTTATAAAATCTTTCATATTTCATGGGGTTGTTTGGGGACTCAAAAAGCTATCCAGAAGCTCCTAGTCTAATACCTGGCCCATGGAAGGCACTCAGCAAATGCCACTGTGTTTTAGGAAGATGTGACCTTAGAGAAGAGGAGAGTACTGGCTGGAATTACTTCCTGTTTAGCAGTGTGGTTTCACTTTTCAAGTAAGTGGGTCTTACTTCTCCAAGAAGATTAGTCATTTCCTGAAGGAAAACAAAAAACAAAAACAAAACAAAAACAGGCTCTGTTTTCACTTCCTAATAGAGCCACCTGGTCTGCAGGGGTTCACTAAATAATAGTTTAATGAGAATTCATGATGGTTGAAAGTAGTAGATATTTTCTATGGTTATTTCATACATGAACCTTTTAAGTGAGGATATTTTCCTTACAAAAAAACAGTTTCAAATCTGTTACAGAAATAATAGGAATATTGAACACTGAAAGAAAGTGAAAATAATATTAAAACCAAAAGTATTTCTATTTCTTTACTGTTTTTCAGACACTTAGGCAGGCAGTGGATCAGTAAATAAATGCAAATTTGGAATGACGAGGATAGAATTGATGAGTGTATTAAGAAAGTTGGGTATCAGTTCAAGTCCAGATGGGAATTATGACTGAGGAACCCTGATAAAACTGCTGACTGTGGAGAGTGAAATGTAGATAGATGAAGTCTGAATCATCTAGTGTTTTCTGGTTGCATTTGCTACTACTAATCTGAAAATGGACTAATGTGGGTAATGGAAATTGAAGATCCTATGTATTCCTCCTGTAGATAAGGTACAACTAAAAACACACCTTGGGTTCAATCTGACAGGTAGGGCTGCCTACACCTCTGGTTTTCACTGGATTGTCTTGGACATTCCCTCCCCTCCAAGGCCTTTTTATCCAGGAAAGGGGCTAGCTGGTCAGTGAATGCAGATCATCTGGCAACCCCTCCTCCAATTAGGGAGCAGAGAAAGACACCTCTAGAAACCCTGGCTCTCCAGTTTCAGAGTGTGATGGGAACACATAAAAGTTTGACTCAGACCTGCAAATATCAGAGATGGCATCATCCATGCTTTCTTCCTTCTGTCCAGCTTTGCGAGTACTTAATCTGCAGCCGTGTGGTTCTTTCCTGGGCTCATTCCCTGGCTCCCAGCATGTGCCCGGGAATTGCCTCATCACTCCACTGGTCAAGGTGGGCTCAGGAAATCAGTCCTTTGCTCGCGCTGTTTTCACTGCGGTGCTCTGTGCACTCCCACCCATTTTTTACAATGGAATCAGCCGTATCTTTCAAGGTCCAGCTCAAAGGTCACCTCTTCTACTAAGCTGTCCTCCCTCCCCGTGTATGCCTCTATCACTACTCACAATGTTTGTGGTGAATCGAATCCCCATCTCCCTCCTCAATTCCACTGACTGCCTGTTACCCAGATGTCACCCACCTTCATCTCCTAGGGCCTGTGTCCTCTTGATCCTGTTTGCAAGCTCCTCTTAGTTTGCCCCTGATAAATCTACTTCCACATGACATAAACATTACTTACATAACAGCATAAACATTGCAGACATTTTCTTGGAGGGTAGGTGACTCAGGAGGGGGTTATATATCCATACATTCTGAAAAATGCCTTGTTGGATGATTTCGTTATCGTGTGAACATCATAGAGTGCACTTACACAAACCAAGATGATGTAGTCAATTAATAAGGTTTCATATATACCAGCATCAGCACCAACATGTGAGTAATTGTAGTGTAAACTCTGTAGGCTTTTGTTTTTTTGTTATGTCCCACCTAAGCTTTGATTGCTGAGGCATCCATTTCAAAGAAACATCTGCTTCAAAAGAGGGATATAAACACATTGACCACCACACACTCGATAGAGCTGGCTACCTTCCCACACTGAGGCTTGTCTGTTTTAGAGATCTTGGTTGATTTTGTTCCTTGTTTTGAATTCACCAATAAAAAGTGATCCTGTGAAACCCTAGGCCACCACTCTCCCCCAATTAAAACAGCACCTCAGGCCCCTCCATGTACTCTCTACCCTGTGACTTGCCTTGTAGCTCCAGGGTCTAGGGATAATAAACTCTTTTCTTCAAACTTTCCTAATGGTTATTGCTGAAGGGTGTCTTGCAATGTTAATAAGAACCATATAGGCCGAAACCAGTTTGGCTCAGTGGATAGAGCGTCGGCCTGTGGACTGAAAGGTCCCAGGTTCAATTCCGGTCAAGGGCATGTACCTTGGTTGCGGGCATATCCCCGATGGGGGTGTGCAGGAGGCAGCTGGTCGATGTTTCTCTCATCGATGTTTCTAGCTCTCTATCCTTCTCCCTTCCTCTCTGTGGAAAATCAATAAAATACGTTAAAAAAAAAAAAAAAAAGAACCATATAGGTCAGTCCAGTTGTAACTCTGGTCCATGGGAAGCTCATTGGGGCCCAGGTGAGTGTCCCTCTGGGCCTCCAGGCATTTCTAGCAGGTAGCATTATTATCCATATGACTTGAGACTGGTGCAAAAACAGTAACACAGTGCACTATCAACTTAGCACGGCTACAACATCACTAGGCAATAGAAATTTTCAGTTGCATTATAATCTTAGAGGCTCGTACACGGATTCATGCCCTGGTGGGGTCCCTCAGCCTGACCTGTGCCCTCTCACAATCTGGGACCCCTCGGAGGATGTGATAGTGTGTGAGGTGGCAGGTGGCTGGGGAGGAGCCTGAGCCTGGGCAGGGCACCACACTGCTCCTGCTCATCCCATCCCAGCCCCACTGTGCCTGCCATTGCAGCTGCTCGCTACTCGGCAGCACTGCCACGGAGGTGGGAGAGGCTCGTGCTGCTGCAACTGCACTTGCCAGCCATGAGCCCAACATTTGGCACCCATGTGGCTCCCACCCGCTGTGGGAACACACTGACCACCAGTGGGAAGCTCCTGCATTTAGCGTCTGATCCCTGGTGGTCAGTGTGTGTCATAGCAACTGGTCATTTGGTTGTTTGGTTGCTTAGGCTTTTATATATATAAATGAGACTACCAAAAGGTCCTTATGCGGTGCATGACTAGCTCAAAAGCTGCAGCAAATATTTCAACAAGGATATAGGGTGGATGGATGAGTAGATGATGCCTGGGTATTAGGTAAACCCAGCAGTTCTTAGAGAAGTGTGTGTATGGGGAAGAAGAAGAGGTGAGGGAGGGGGGATCATGACATGAGTGAATTTTGTTTCCACTCTGGCAAGATGTAGGCCAAGATAAAAATTAAGTTGAATTAAAAAATATTTCTTTCACACTTGATTGCTGTAGATGGCAATTTATACCCACTACATTCATGAAACTATTAATATTTTCTAACTCAGAGCCATCCCTGCCTCCCCACCTTCTCTCAGCCACTCCATCTATCTTCTCTCCCATCACCCTATCTACATTATTCTTTTTTTTTTAAATATATTTTTTTATTGATTTCAGAGAGGAAGGAAGAAGGAGAGATAGAAACATCCATGATAAGAGAGAACCATGAATTGGCTGCCTCCTGCAAGTCCCCACTGGGGATCAAGCCCACAATCTGGACATGTACCCTTGACTGGAATCGAACCTGGGGCACTCCAGTTCACAGGCCAACACTCTATCCACTGAGCCAAACCAACTAGGGCTTTACATTATTCAAAAATTTTCAGAATTTTAACAGTTTATTTTCACTTGATTATGTTGCCAGGTTGCATTTAGTAGCACATAAGTCAGTTATCTTTATTGGACTGTGTTTTAAAACATAGTGTACTAATAGAAAACTTGAGGTTCAGGAAGGCCAATAGATCTGGAGACAATTGCCCTTGAAAAGAAAGTTTCTTACAGTTCCCAAGGAGAATGCCACACATGGAGGGTCACAGGAGAAAACAGCCAGGTTGGTCTCAGGCAGAGAGGAAGTGGGCTGAGGCCTTACTGTGGTTTCCTTGGGAAGAAAGAAGAGAGGAAGGGTAAATACGTTTAGGATTGCCTAGATTAAATAATTCCCCTTGGTCTTAGGGGCTGTCCCTGGTTGTATGGATATGGTCCTTTGGTGATTAGGGCAGAGTGATAATGGGAAGAGGGAGGTTGGGATTATGGACTGATTAGTTTGCATATAAAAGGAGAGTTGTTTGTGTTCTCTAAAAATTATCTAATTTAGGAGGGACAGCCCCTCTAGAGTCAGCATTAGAATTATAGAAGCATTAGAATTATAGAAAACAAAAACACATGATAAATACACAATGGCTTTAAATTAATATTAAATAATCATAAATATTAGTTAGATGAATATTTGGAGAATTGGATCTTAAAATGTTTCTATTCAAGAATAAGATACGTGAATTTTTAAGTGTTTTTCTTCTGTTCCTTAGTGGAGTTCTCATCATATTGGCCCAACAAAATTTTGTTAACTATGTTTTTAGACAGTCTGTTTTGTGGCTATTATATATGTTATCTTCTATATTTATATGTAGGTAATGTTGCTTATTTTGTATATTAATTCCATACCTTAATGAGTTCTTTGAAACAATTTCTCCATTCTCTTACCTAAAAACATTGGCTAGTACTTCCAGAACAATGCAAAATGATACTTGTGATTGCAGGCACCATTTATAATCAGCATGTGGTTTGCCTGCTTTCTTCCTTCAGGAGGAGCAAAAATGACAAGTACATTTCCCTACAAGGAGTTCCTGAGGCTGCAGGGTTTGAATGTCTTCCCAAGGATATAACAAGATGGGAAAAGCGTCCTTACCATTTCCAACTGAGCACTTGTGCCAATAAAAGGTGACTTCTTGGCCCATGAATTAGGGCTAGTTGGAATGCTAATTATTTGTTGCCTCAACTGTCTTTCTTCCTGGCACTGAGACCAATGATGAAGGCAAACATATTGAGAAATCCGTTCCTCAGTGGACTCTGAGAATAAAGATTCACTTGATGTGAACCCCATGAAGGAATGTATCTGATGAGATAGACTCCCCATGGTCAAACAGGGCCCACATTTTATAAATAATATGAACCTAGTAGCTGTTTGCTTACAGGGGCTCCTCACGTACCGTGCATACTAGGGAAAACCTCAGTGTGAACTCTTGGTTTCCCACACATGCCCTGCTTGTGTAAGCCATCTTAGTCAACCTCTGAAGGGAAGCCCTGGTTTTATCTTTTGTCCAATGAACTGAGACCTGCCTTCTCCAATCAGGACTGCACAATTATATCCTCATTTGCATCAATGCCAACTAATCAGAATGGCGCTATAATCACTCATCAGAACTGCATGATTCAGAGCAATCAGCATTGTTAGAATTTGGAAACCTTATTTGCATAAAATTGAGCCAATCAGGAACCTGGGCGGTAACTTTATAAATGACAGCCTCCCCTTTGTCTCAGTGGAGTGCACTTTTGCTTTCCACAGGAAGTTACCTAAGGAACTGTTTCACCTGAATGAAGTTTCTCCTTTTCTGCACCTCTTTGGAAATTTTGGTTTACACTCTGCAGTCTTCACCTTCAAAATCTCAGACCAAGCTCCTTTAGGTGAGTCAGCAGAAAGTGACCTCCTTCCCTCCCTCTTTGACCCCACGGTGATGTGTGTATAGTTAGGGTCACTAGTGCCGAGGGGCATTGACTTAGTCCAAGCCCTCTGCCCAGCCCTGGCTTCAGAATATGTAATACCAACAACCCTGAAAAATAGTCTTCAGAGGGAAAGCAATGACATACCCTGTACCCTTAGTTACACACTGTAATTCTCCACATGCTGTCTGGAAAATGCATTAACCCAGTGTGTTCATTGGCTAGGGCTGCTATAACAAAACCCTACTGATTGGGTTGCTTAAACA